TCAGTTTAACACTATCTTCTGTAGCTTCCTCCATATTTTTCAACAAGCAAGACAAATCAGAAATCTCAGAGAAGAAGGTATTAGAAGTCACATACAATGATCCAGAAATCCTAACAGTCATTTCATAAAAAGATTTCAGAATCATAACCAAAGATTGAATGGATTCCCAATCTAAGAAATCAGGTACACTTCCACCCAAATCAGATTTAAATGAACTGTCATGATCATCATAGGCTTCAAATACCTTCTGAAACAGTAATGCAGTATTAAGCATCATATATGTGGAATTCCACCTTGTAGGGACATCTAGACACAGAGAATTTTTTGCTTCCACCCCAATTAGATCAGCTAGTGATTTAAACTTCTGCAACCTAGCAGGTGAGCTCCTCACATACCTAACAGCATCCCTGACTTTCTTAACTGAACTGTCACATTCTTTCAACCCATCCTGTACCACCAAGTTAAGAATGTGAGCAATGCACCTCATGTGCAAATACTTACACCTAACAGAAGTACAACCCCAAGAACCCAACTTCTTCTTCAAGAAACCTAGGGCAGTATCATTGCTGGAAGCATTATCAACTGTCACACTAAACACTGATTTTAGACCCCAGTCCAAAAGGCAACTCTCTAAAGCCTTTGCAATACTTTCCCCCTTGTGGGAATATATAGGAACAAATGAAATAATCTTCTTTTGCAGCTTCCACTCACTATCAATGAAATGTGCAGTTATGCACATGTAGTTTATTCTCTGTACTGAGGTCCAAGTATCAGTTGTGATACTTACCCTCTGACTGCTAGTCCTAAAAAACTTCTTCAAGTTGACCCTCTCATCAGAAAATATCTTGAAAATGTCCCTACTGATAGTCCATCTTGAAGGGATTTTAAACCTAGGACAACAAACTAAAACAAACTTTCTAAAACCCTGTCCCTCAACAATTCTAAAAGGAAGTTCATCTAAAATAATCATCTCAGCTAAGGCTCTCCTTATCAAGTCCTGATCAAACACCCAAGTACCCAACACCCCTTCAGTTCCTTCACTACTTTGAGTTCCAGCAGAAGAAGGTGCAGGTTGGAATGTGAGTAGGGACTGCCTTGTCTCCTTAGAGTGAGGATTTTTAAGGCAGTTTACCACATGAAGTCTTAGAGATGAAGTCCCATGTTTCTTGGTCTCACAGCAATACACTTTTGCACAATATATACACTTTCCTTTGATGACAATGCCCTCACTGTCTTTGATCTTTTCAAAGTGATCCCAACATGGAGCCCTGGATTCAACCTCTTTCCTTTTCTTTGGAACAGGTGGAGGCAAAGGCTGCTGAGACTGAGGAGTAACAGTCTCTACAGCAGGTGCTTCCAACTCAGGTTGGGTTCCAGATACACCAGTAACACCAGTCCCACCACTAACACTTTCCATCTAAAAAGGGGAAAGTATCAGTGACACAGAATGGGAAATCACTCATTCAAAATCATCAACAGAGAATGGGCTTTGTCAATTGGCACATACACACATGTATCAATTAAAGTGTTAAACACTTAAACAGGCAGAATTCAGTGAATTTTACATTTCATCATGTATGCAGAATTGCACATAAATGATTTAAGGGTCACATATCCATAAACTTACAATTTCACAGTTACAACTTACAACAGTTACAAGTATTTACAAGTAAGTAACTAACAACTTACAAATTACAATTTACAATTTACAATGAAATCCATAATCAGGCATTCAAGCTAAGTAGGTGTATGCTACTTTATATGCTCATCATTTATATGGATTTCAGTCACACACTCCCACATTTATATGGCTTCCACCAAAATACCATCATGCTTAACATTTATATGGATTTCAGTCACACACTCACACATGAGTACAAGACAGTGAGACACACTCCCACATTTATATGGCTTCCACAGAAATACCATCATGCTTAACATTTATATGGATTTCAGTCACACACTCACACATGAGTACAAGACAGTGAGACACACTCCCACATTTATATGGCTTCCACAGAATTGACAGAAATACCATCATGCTTAACATTTATATGGATTTCAGTATTTAACACACAATGGCAAAGGGCTAGGGTAGTATGGCTTCCACCACAGATTAGGTTACAAATTAGAAACCCTAATCAAACAATTAACAAATTCACACTCAAAGAACTACTGACATGCAATCCGGAACTTCTCAACGGATTTACAAGTATCATAGTCCAGTGAGTCCACAGATTAGGTTACAAATTAAAAACCCTAATCAAACAATTCACAAATTCACACTCAAAGAACTACTGACATGCAATCCGGAACTTCTCAACGGATTTACAAGTACAGTGAGTCCACAGATTACTGAGATTAGGTTACAAATTAGAAACCCTAATCAAACAATTCACAAATTCAAACTCAAAGGACTAGTGACATGCAATCCGGAACTTCTCAACGGATTTACAAGTATCACAGTCCACATAATCATAAAAATTAGAAACCCTAATCAAGAAGACAAATACACAATAATCTATAACGGAAATGTAAATAGGGTTTAGTAATTACTTCGTTTCTCAGATTTAATCCCTCGAGAACAAAGGGCTTCGAATCAACTATTCCACCGTTCCACAGTTCCACCGTTCCACCAGACTCCGGTGACCGGACTAGGGTCTAGGGCTTCCACCGTTCCAACACTCCGCCACTCGCTACTCCGATGCTCCGAAGAGGGCTTCCACCAGACTAACAAACATAGACTAAGACTCTCAGAGTCTTAGAGAGTAAGACACTAAGAGTCTAAGAGTCTAAGACTCAAAGTCTCAAACTCTCAAAGACCAGAGCGAAAGAGAGAACGAGAGTGGAGACTGGAGAGATGAGAGATGAGAGAAGTCTAGAAGAGTCAAGAGTGAGAGCACGGCTGCGCTTGCTGGAAATGAGTGATATATATACATACACCAAACGACATCGTCTTATGTAGCGTAAAAAAACCCTAGGCTTTCATCGGGTAGTCGGACGGGTTCGGGTGGCGTTTAATGCCTCCCACCCGAACCCCTTCAGTCCGTCTTCTAGCGTTGCATCGGATCGGGTAAGGGTTTCGGATACGGTTCGCTCCACGGATTGGTCCGTCGGGTTTCGGGTCGGGCGGGTGGGTCGGATTCTTCGGTTTCTGCACAGCCCTAACTAAATGTACATTATAAAATAATATACTTTCCTTAATACAAGGTACATTTTTTTTTGTTTTGGTCGAATGAATCCTGAGCAAGCCTTAACTATAGGAGACACCTTTAAGCCCGTACCATACTCAGACATTCCTGTTTGCACCGGGCCAGCCCAATTAAGGGACAATTTGGCCCGATTAATTTTTCCATACGACAATTATGCCAGCCCGTACCATACTCAAACAAACTTAATCGCGTTTGCACACATTTAATTCCCATTCGCACACACTTAATCTAATCTAGACCATTAAAAAATATTAAATGGATGCACACGATTTGTTCTCACGTTCTCACCTAAGCAAGTATTCTCATATGATCCTAAATATAAATAAATAAATAAATAAATAAATAAATAAATAAATAAATAATATATATATATATATATATATATATATATATAAAAAAAATTCGGGAACGGGGCGGGGGAGGGGTATATTCCCGTCCCTGAAAGTTTCTCACATCCCCGTTCCTATTGGGACATGGATCGAGAATTCCCGTCGGGGACGGTGCAAATTGTTATCCCTACTTTTCATCATTCAGTTGTGAATAAATAATTATCCTTCAGTTGTGAATAAATAATTAAATCAACTTTTCAAGTAGTATATATGTCAAACTTGTCAATGTTATCTTTGTAAATTTTGCAATGTCATTCTCCCTACAAAGAAGAACGTATAAGATTACCAAAAAAAAAAAAAAAACTCTTGAAAAATTAAGAATTTTGAACATTTTATAGTAATTAAAAATGAACATATCAATCACATTATTATGGGCTAATTTCACTATAAAACTAACAACTATTTGGCTACCATTAGAAGATAAAAGTTTTATTTTTCCTTTTAATTTTATATTGTTTTGAGTGGTACTGTGTTGAGATTACTTTTTTTTTTTATTACAAAGGAAGGGGGATACCCATACAACCTATGCCTACACTGAGGCTCGAAACCTAGACCTCCCACATAGGGGAGCAATCCGATACCAGTGGACCACAAGCCACCGGTACTGTGTTGAGATTACTTAATGAAGAAAAAATGGTCAAATAAATCCATAAACTTTAAACAGGAAGTTAATTGGATTTTTAAACTTTCAAAAGTTGCAATTAAACCTACAAACATATTATTTTGAAACATTAATGAAACACGTTCGTTGGAGTTCGCCAGAACCCTAGATAACCTGCAATAATTACAGGTCACCAACAGGTTTGTGGGTCTTATTGGTTCAAAATAACATGTTTGTGCGTTTAATTGTAACTTTTAAAAATTTAAAGGTCTAATTGACTTATTGGATAAAGTTTAAGGGCTTATTTGACACTTTCCTTTTAATTAATTACACTTGAATTAATGTAAGTAGATATTACTTCATTAGTAATGATATAATCACTAATGGTTGCCGGCTATGAGGCAAAAGCTAAGTCTAGATGGTAAGTGAATAGACTTTAAAACTTTTTAAGATGATCTATAGTGAGTATGATATAGTAATATTCACTGCTGGAAATCAGCAAATTTTCGACCACTTTTCCTATCATTTGGAGGATTCGGAAAAGGCCTTGTCGGTAATGCCGACCACCTTCTCGACTACCTTATCTAGAATCGTCGGAACAAAACGACGAGCCCAACAATTGGACGGGTCTGGAGTCCCGACCACCTGGTGGTCGGAAATTCCGGATCCAAGAATATTTGTTGTTCCAGATTTCCGACCACCAGGTGGTCGGAAAATTTACCAATAAATATTTTTTATAAAAATTGCAAATTTTTTTTGCTAATTTCCTACCAATTATATACTGCTTTAACAATTTTAAAAATTAGTAGTAATTTCATAACACTACAAATATTATACATTTCAATAACAAATTTAGTTACATACATAATAATGTTTCAATTCTAATATCTACTTTCAAAAAACTATCTTCCAATTCTAAAGTGCTACTATACAAATCAAAATATTTCATATATTACAAGTAGAATCACAAAAAAAGTTAGAATCTTGACCTATTGCTCTTGCATAGGAGAATGTGTTCCATCATTCAATCCAAGATCATCTAACCCAACACCACTACTTCCATGGCTACCGACTGGATAAGTAGATTAGAAACACGGCTGATTTGAACCACGTAGAAATTTGAACTTTCACCCATGCAAATCTGTCCTTCAATTGCTTGTTCTCTTCCTGTAGTTGCTTAATTTTTTCCTCACAGCCTTTTATTCTTTTGGCTTGCATTACGTCGAGACATTTTCTGTATAAATGTAACCTATAATTCATTTCAATCAAATAATTAGCATAAATGTAACCTATAATTCATCTCTAGTTTTAAATATATGGCAAAGGCTAGGTGCTGATCATGGCCTATTATGATTTTCCTATGAAATGTCAGTATTCAGTTATGGCAATTGTAGGTGGTGGAACCTGTGTACCTGGCTGGCTGCTCAAAGATAAAGGTTTCAATATATAACTGATGCAGCTGCCCACCACTAGCTCTAGCAATAATCAGCTGAAACAAATGAACTAAATTTAGAAGTGCAAAAATGCCACTAAATTTAGAAACAAATGAACTAAATTTTGAAAGTATGTTCACTAGAAATAGTTTGAGGAGACAAGAGGCAGAGACACAAACTAAAGAAGATGACTGCTAATATATAAACAAATACCTTAAAGAAGATGACTGCTAATCTATAAACAAATACCTTAAAGAAGATGACTGCCTCCGATTCTCAGTTATCTCCCCTAAAATTTAAATGATGATGATGATGAGATGGAACTGTAACTACAAGCAAATAATTCTCTCATCTCTCTTTCTTACTACCTTGTTGTCCATCTAGCTCAACAAAAGTCATTTTCACTGAACAATGCTCAAGCTGATCCAACTCACTGATAGATTCTGAAAGAAAACATGATGCCGAAAATTAACCACATAAACTTTAACCTATGAATGCAAAGAAAACTATGGATAGCAATGAACTCTGAGTAAGGAACAACAAATGAAATATACAGCCCAGTTTGATGGATGTTGGGAAGAATAGAGAGGACCTACCACCTTCCTTACCATCTATGCTTGTTGGAGAACAACTTTGATCCTGGGAGAAAATAACACTATTAGTCTCCAAATTTTCCCTGACTATTACCATCTCACATAATGGTAGACTGTCATGATGTTATACATATTAGAAACAAAAGTGGCATCTAAATATCTGTGTAAGCCACTACCAGACTGCATAACTAAAACTAATATTTGACTTTCTTTTTTATTTATGTTGAGTGGTTGTTGGGCCATGGAGTTCCAGACTGTATTACTGAAACTAAAGAAAACCTAAGGAGAGAGACTTTGATGACCTTAATGCAAATTAAATAAGATTGGCAACACTAGTGCAGTAGAACCTAAGTGGACTTCAAAAAATTCAACAACACTACATCCAAAAACTAACTACATTCAAATTTAGAAACGTAAAATGTAAGGGATAAACAAAATCACAGAGAAATTTTTTAAAAATAATCACAATTTATTAGCAACTATAATGTACAAATATAACATATTTCTACGAATGATCAGAATGAAATGCAAATTAAGCCAAATTGACAACACTGCACAGTAGACACTGAGCATACCACAGAAACACATTCAATAACACATCATTTCAAACACTAACTAATTTCAAACCAAGTAACCTAAAATGCAGGGATTAACAAAACAAAGGACAATTAAAAAAACACCGCATTTCAAAACGCTAACTAGTTTCAACCCTAAGAACCGAAATTAACATATTTCTTCAATTTGAAGCAGTCCAAGAATATAAAAATCGTGTTCATACTCTTCCAATCAAATTCAGAAAGAAAGACTGAGACAAGCGTATGTATATCATTTATGTGCACAGTATTTACTATTTACAGGCAGTTGAAGAAAAAATAGATACAGAGACTTACAGACTGGAAGTGGCGTAGCGGCGGAGGATGGCGAAAGAAGACGACAGTGAGGGAAAAAGTTCAATCGTCGCTGCCGTAGGTGGGTCCTGAGTTGCTACCGGTGAAGGAGGAAGGCTGAATGGGAGATTGAAGGAGGAAGGCTGAATGGGAGATTGAAGGAGGGAGAAGTGAAGGGCTGACAGGACCGGCAAAAAATTGGGGCAAAATAATATGAGAGTGAAGGAGGAAGAAGTGAAGGAGCAAAATTTTAGGGTGAAAATTTGGGGCTAAATTGAGAATGGCGCCAATTTGGAGTGAAAATTTGGCAGATTTTTTTTTTTTTTTTTTTTTTTTTTTTTGCATTAAAATTTTGTATAAACATTATGAAATAATATGCATTTGACAAATTACAAACTTTGACTAATTATAATTATAATAAAATATAATAACAATTAATTATTTTGCATTATTATGGAATAATATGCATTTCATAGATGTAGTGATTGTAATATTTTCCCTAATAATATATAATATATATTATATATTAAGGTTTTAATTAAGTGGTGCAAGTGGACTAGGCTTATTAAGTGGCTTGGTTGGACTGAATAACTATAAATTGTTAGTCCAACAAACTCTGTGCCTAATATAATCCTGGACACCATCTAGGGTTCTAAGTCAGGTATGAAGCAAATAATGGCTAACGGTTTACCGTTAAGACGATAAGAGGCAACACAACAGGAATTCCAAAATAGCCTTAGATCGAAGCCCCACGGGTAGACCATGAATCAGTATCCAAAAAGCAACATTCGTCGGAACAATACGTTTGAGTACTAGTAGATTTTGATCGAAAGCCCATGGGCCATTCTCAAATATATGCTCAATATCACCTTCGTGGTAAAAGCGAAAAAGATACCTTTGCCCTTCAAGTTCCCGCACATTCATACCCATTGCCGGCCTCCAAACCGAGCCCATGGTATCTCTGGAATAAACGAACTTAGTAGATTTGTCCGAGACTAAGTCGCCTACCGCTAGAAATATCTTTACTACATTGATATTCTTTTAATTGTGAAATTGTTATGAAATTGTTGGTGGCAAATGCTAAATCTATTTGTTAAGCAAACTTACAAATTATAATGATATAATTCATTTTTAGTTGTTAATGTTTATTAATAATATTTATAAATGGTATACATTTTGACTTCTTTATTTTTTAACACACACACACACACACACACACACACACACACACACACACACACACACACACACATATATATATATATATATATATATATATATATAATAGTTTCGTGTTTTACAAAATTCATACTATATAACTTACAATTTACAATATCAGCACAATTTATTAAATGTTCTAGAGAAAAGCTAGGTTTACAGGAACAATACATTTCTCTAGCATATTCAATCAATTATGTGTGATATATATATATATATATATATATATATATATATATGAACTTTTGTTATGTTATAATGATAAATATTTGTATTATGTGATATAAAAAAAGACACGATATGCAATCCATTACATTAGTTTGATAGAAATAAAGTGATGTGTCGTTGAAAGGGCAGTCATGGCCACTAGCGTAGATTGTAGCAGTGTTAGAGATGGTTCGCTCATAATAAACAACAGCATATCACTTAGGAATGGATGCCATGAGAAGACCTAGACTAATAATATCATATGAATGTTTGTATTCTATGATTAAAAAAAAAATACGTAGTACAATACAGTATGTAGGATGATGAAACTCAATAGAACTATGATTGTAGAGTCCTAACAAGAATAAACGTTTTAAAGAATTGAAGTAAGAAAATAATTTCATGTATCTACATGAAAATGACACGACCTTATTTTCATAGCAAGAATGATGAGATGGTATCTACCATAAGTCCATAACTCTTTGCTTCGTGTTCAGTTGAAATTGGAAAAAAAAAGTAAGAGTAAAATAATTAATGATGAAAAGATAAATCAATTAGTCTTCATATCATTGAACCACAAAAAAAAAAAAAAACAAAAAAACAAAACAAAAAAGAAAAAAAAAAAGGATTTTTCGAAAACTTAGTGGTCTGTTCCGACCAGCCTTGAAGAGTGGTCGGAAACAATATACAAAAATTAAATTTCTGGGAAGTATTTCCGACCACCATATAAAGGTGGTTGGAATTTCCGACCACTTTCCGACCACTATAACCATCAGTCGCAAAAATAAAAAAAATTCACTTTTTGCGACCAATTTTTGGGTGGTCGGAAATGAGGTCGGAAAACGGTGATTTCCAACCGTGATTGATGGGAAAAAGTTGAAAATAAATACTTAAATAGGTAAACTCTAAAATCTTGAAGATTATGCCCTAAAGGCTTATGGTTGTACTTTTTTTTTTTTTTTCCTTTAACTAAGTTTTTTTTTTTTTTTTTTTTTTCACGGGGTTTTCTTAGGATAAGGTTTTTAATGAGGCAACGCAAAATTACCCATATATTATGTACTCTTTTTTTGACTAGGTTTTTCTAGCTAGTTTTTAACGAGGCGGGATTATGATAAGATAATGTCCAGGGGAGTGTTATAATATATATTATTATTGTGGACATTATTGGCATTCAATACGTAACGGTTGTAACGGTTAACATTATTATTGTTATTATTATATGTATATTGTATTTACAAGATGTATCATTGTATGAGAATGGTTGAATAAAATGTTTCTAGTATATGTCTCTTTCTATTTAGGCTCTTTATCTTTTATATTTGCTATACTATAATCGTTTTACCGGGAAACGATGTGAGATAAAAGCAATAATTACAACAAATTGCACTTATTTCTAATATCATATTTATAATTATTATGATTATATCTCATTTAGTTTGGTGGGATATGGTGTTCAAATCATTAATATTTGATTTTTAGGAATTTCTTAAGAAATACGAAAGAATATGCAAATTGGTAAGAGTAATTTTTTATTTTATTTTTTAGTATCTCTTTAGCCCAATTGAAGTGATTTAAGTATCCATAGAAAACCATGACAATCCTCTACAATGAACTTCTTGTTCACAGTTTTAAGAGATTAAATACATGGTAAAAAAAAGTGGATAGATGTTGACATGCCTAGAGACAGAGCCCTATGACATGCTAATAGTATTTTGGTTATGTCTCTTTCATATAAAGGATGCCAACACCGACTAACCTCAACATGCTTTCAATAAGATTTGGACTCGTGATCTGCTCCTATAAATCAGTTGTCAAGATCAAACGCTTCGTCTCTACTGGGTACGAAGAATGCATCTTCGCCTCTAGCTTGGAGACAAAGGCCATTTCTTCATTTCTAGGAAAAAAAGACTATAATGTGACAAAGGGCTAGTCCATTTCCGAAAATAAGACACTTTTTTTTTTGGACTAAAATGTGAAAAAAAAACGTTTGGGACATGCGTTTTTGGCATGTCCCAGGTTTTTTTTTTTTTTATTTTTTTTATTTTTTACTTTACCAAAGACGATCTGGGAGTTGCGTCTTTGGTATTGTATACGGCCGTCGCATTTACGAAATGCGATCGCTGTATATCAATAGTATACGTTAAAACGCATGTACGAGATGCGTTTGGAGTATTATACGTCCAACGCATCTCGTACATGCGTTTTAATCGCCGGTCAGCGCCGGAGAACATCAATAACAAATACAAATGAACAATGCACTTATCCAACTAAGGCACTTAGCTTATTTAGTAGAACTGATGTGAAAGAGAGTTTTCTATTCCTTGAAGACCTGTGTTTGAATCCCAGACCTATTTGTAGTTGTGATTTTATGTTTGAATGTTGAAAATTGCACACCGTTCCAAAATTAATTTTATATGTTGAATTTTAGAAAGTATGCAAAAAAATGTTCATATGTATATGTTAAGAATAAATAAAAAATATGTAATATATTTCTGATACATTTTTTCATTATTTTTAAATTTAATCTACCCATTGTGATAATTATTTTTGTTTTCTTTTGTGTATTCATTCCGTGTGTATTAATTGCATGAGTGGAACGAATTGTTATTCGTTTGAAATAAAATGAGTATTGTATAAAAATGTGAATCAAAAAATAAACTTGGGATTGATTTTAACTAGGATATAATCATATATTTTCGGAATATTGCAAATTACATCAAGTAGATACAAATGTCGATGAATATCAATTATGAGAATAGGATGCTATTTTTTTCGGGCATGTCAAAACGCAACTCAGAGTTGCGTTTTTGGTGCGCAGTCCAACTGTCAGGCGCTCAAAACGCAACTCAGAGTTGCGTTTTTGGTGCGTAGTCCCACTTGTCAGGCGGTCAAAACACAACTCAGAGTTGCGTTTTTGGTGCGCAGTCCACTCCTCGAACAGTGGTGCGCAAGTGAGAGTTGTGTTTTTGGTGCGCCCATCCACAAATAGTCCCATCGAACAGTAATGGTGAGCTGTATGTGTATGCATGGGCGCATGACTATAGGTATGGATTTTACTATATATATATAGTAACAGATTGTGTGAAATTAAATTTTAATATATTTGTTCAGTTTGATACAAAGGAAGTGTAATATGCCACACTTTAATATATTATCAGTTTGTATGAGGAGGTATATTTATGCGAGAAAGAAGAAAAAGAGAAGGTAAGAGTTTAAGTAAGAGAATATGTATACATATACATACATAATTATAGTGTGTATATAGGTATATTTACGTTTAAATTTACGAATTTTGGTATTTTTTTGTGGCGCAGGTACATTATACGAGAAGAATAAGCTTGTAGTGGTCTGTAATTAATTCTCGCGAAAAAAATAGCATCCTATTCTCATAATTGATATTCATCGACATTTGTTATCTACTTGATGTAATTTGCAATATTCCGGAAATATATGATTATATCCTAGTTAAAATCAATCCCAAGTTTATTTTTTGATTCACATTTTTATACAATACTCATTTTATTTCAAACGAATAACAATTCGTTCCACTCATGCAATTAATACACACGGAATGGATACACAAAAGAAAACAAAAATAATTATCACAATGGGTAGATTAAATTTAAAAATAATGAAAAAATGTATCAGAAATATATTACATATTTTTTATTTATTCTTAACATATACATATGAACATTTTTTTGCATACTTTCTAAAATTCAACATATATAATTAATTTTGGAACGGTGTGCAATTTTCAACATTCAAACATAAAATCACAACTACAAATAGGTCTGGGATTCGAACACGGGTCTTCAAGGTATAGAGAACTCTCTTTCGCATCAATTCTACCAAATAAGCTAAGTGCCTTAGTTGGATAAGTGCATTGTTCATTTGTATTTGTTATTGATGTTGAAAGCACTAACACGTCTAAATAAAAGTTAAATTGTAAGGCGTTAGGTTCAAACACAAGTTTTCAAGGTAAGTAGGAGTTTCATTGTCACCAAATCTACCAAATAGGCTAAACGTATTACTTGGATAGATCTTGTAAACCTTTATACTTGTTCACGTTGATTAGCGCAATATTCCGCCTTTAGGTGAAACGCATCTGGTTCATGCGTTTCACCTAAACCACAAGTCCCAAACGCGGCTTCTCGCGAGTATTCTACGGCCGCTGACCGGCGATTAAAACGCATGTACGAGATGCGTTGGACGTATAATACTCCAAACGCATCTCGTACATGCATTTTAACGTATGCTATTGATATACGGTGATCGCATTTCGTAAATGCGACGGCCGTATACAATACCAAAGACGCAATTTCCAGATGCGTCTTTGGTAAAGTATAAAAAAATAAAAAAAAAAATTCGGGACATGCCAAAAACGCATGTCCCAAACGTTTTTTTTTCACATTTTAGTCCAAAAAAAAAGTGTCCTATTTTCGGAAATGGACCAGCCCTTTGTCACATTATAGTCTTTTTTCCTCATTTCTAGCATAGACAAAGTTGTCTCATTTTATTTTATTTGAAATTATTAAAATAAATTTAAAAATAATATTTTAATAAGATGATCACAACTTCAGTGATAATCAATAGAAGAAGCCAATTTTGGTGTAATTGAATAATTTTGGACTATTCAGGGATTGAATTACATTTTTTTTTTAAAGTTGAATAACCAATTGCATTAATGTGTGTAATTTAGTGACCTATTTGAATATTATTTCAAAAATAAATTTTAAAAAAATAAATCTTAATAGACACACAAAAAAAAAAAAGATAATAAAGAATAAAAACTATATAAAAAAAAAGGATAATAAAGAATAAAAACTGATCTTAAAAAAAAAAAAAAATTGAAGTAAACAGAGATATGTTCTCTTCTCCCAATATGAATTGAGTTCTTTTGGAGCCTGCAGAAGTTCTCTTGGAGTTCATCATATTTCTACTTGAGTTGTTGAGCTTTCTTTTTCATGGCGTCAAAATCCAGGATGAGAAACCTCTTTGACGAAGATGACCCAAGCCCTTGCTACGACCTCATCAATGACCTCTTCTCCCAGGATAAAGCCGTCGTCAACCCCGCCCTATGCTGATGCCAAAGAGGTGAGTATGATTTTGTTGTTTTTGTCCAATAAGCTAAATTAATCCTTTTTGGTTCGTTATTAATATTAATGATGTCTTATTTTGTTGTGTCTTGCAAGGTTGTTAAAGATTTGTTCCATGATTGACAAGTGAGTACTACTGCTTGGGTTTGGGTTTGGGTTTAATTGGATTCATTAATTTTGGATAATGCTAATGATTTGTTTCGTTTTCTTCAGGCCAGAGACTAAGGTTACTGGTCCTGATGATGCTACATTCCCAGAATCATTGTAGTTATGGCTGAGGTTCTGTGGGCTGGGAAACATTTAGCAACACCAGAAATCCAGGACAAGATGATTCTACAGCTGAGGATGTTGAGTAGGGAAATAACTTTATGGACATAAATAGAACATTACCTCCATATATGCAGGGCATGTTGCATGGCATCTTGTCATCATGATACATAGGATTCTTGTATACTTGTATGGATGTATAGCAGAGAAGAAAACACTTGCCTAGTATACCCTGTACACATGATAAACACTTAGATCAAATCACTAAATTTTGCCCTTACTTTTCTTTTCTCACAACCATCAAAACTTTCACTCCTATAGTGTAATAGCAAAAAAAAAATAAAACGTGCGACAGGTTTAACTGAAGAAGGAGGAGGGTGTTAGCAAGAATTCATATATCGTGATCTTTAAGTAAAATAATCATATTATACTCACTTGGTTATCCCTTTCAAGAGAGTATACACTCTTTTATAAATGTTATGTTAAGGTTATTTAATAATAATAATAATAATAATAATAATAATAATAATAATAATAATAATAATAATAATAATAATAAAAAATAATCGTATAAAAGAAAATTAACTGTATTAAATTTTTTAATAAATAATAGTAAATTTGAAAAGTTAAAAGTTAAAAGTAAAAGAATACTATTCAATTTAGATATCGAATTACACACGATAATGCAATTGAATCATTAAATTTAAAAATAAATGTGCACTTAAATCTCTAAATTAACGAATTTCGTGTAATTTTTTCAATTTTTCGATAAAATTCTTTACTATCTCGTTATTGAGTGCCCCATGAATTTTTTAAAATATTATTGTATAAATATATATTTAATATATTGTAATAGACTCAATAACACTCTAAACAAAATATTTTAATAATTTTAAATAGATTAAAATTAAATTAAAAAAAGTCACCCCTCATCTCTTCATATCCGATCGGAGACAAAGAGACTAAGGCCAATTATTTTATCCCTTCCAAGTTCCAACCAATGTGTCCTCTTATTAGCTACGGAGTATTTCTTTAGCTATTCCACTCATTTCTGAGAATACTACGTAGTAAATTTGAAAAGTTAAAAAATAAAAATTGGAAATTTAAAAATAAATTCTGAGAATAGTAGTATTACTAGTATACTGTATACGTCGCGCGTAAATTGTATTGAAATCCTGAGAGAGAAAATGCTCCAAGACGAAAAGAAATGGAGCTGATGTCCTCGCCGGAAGCTCCAGAACATGTGCAGGAGTGTACGGAAGTCTTCGGTGGACGAGAGCTTCCGGAAGCTGGGGATAGAGAAGCTTCCGAGCATCGGAGATATCCAGAGAGTGGAGTAATGAAGACCCGGTGGCCGCAAAATTGTACTCTAACTCTTCGCCGGCGAGAAGAAGCTCTATGCATGAGCAAGTGTTTGAAGGTGTAGGCACTGCTACAGATGATGCTTGCTTTATATATGTAGACTATCAAATGTCCAGGTATTTAGCTTTTTAAGTTTTCCGATATATATATATGCTATGCGGGGGGTTTGATCTCGGATTATAAGCCGACTTTGGTTGAATTGATGATTGTTTCAAAGCCTTCAACATATTCATTATATTAATGGATCGCCCGATTTGAGAGAGATGATTAGGGATTTTGATTTTTTTGGGAAGTTAACTGTGAATTCAGGCACTCGGCTACTAAAAAATTAAAATAATATTTGAGTCTATTGTTTAAAAAAATAAATAAATAAAAAAATCTTGGCAGTTAAAAACTGAAAATGGCCGTTGATGGGATCCCCCCATATTTAACCTCCCGCCATAACCCACTTTCTTTCTTTCCTTCTGTGTGTCATCTCTCCATTGCTCCAAGAACCTCCACTCTTTCTCATGGAGTCTCCGTCTACTTCTGAAAATAATCAAATTCACTCCCAAATCAAAGAACTCTTGAGCGAACATAACCGAGATGGTTTCTTCGACTTCGTCAATTATCTCTTCTCTGAGGACGAAGCCATCCGCAACCCCGCCGACTCCCTCTACAACATCGTCATGAACGAGTATCCGAATGCTCTTTCTAACAAGCTCGCCTTAGCCATCAACAGCAGTCCTGATACCCAAACCAGACTTCGCTGCTCTACCCTCTTCTCCCGTAATCTTGCGTTAAAATCTCCCCTCATCGACCATATTCTCAACAAAAGATTCAAGACCTTCTTTATCCAGCTCATCCAGGATGAGGAGGAATGGGAGATCCTCAAGATTCACTGCGCCTGTGTTTCAAGCATTGCTGCTCTGCTTTTTCCCAAGCAAGATTGGCCCGAATTGCTGGTATTGATGTTCGAATGGTTATCTTCTCCAAACTCAACACTTACAAGATGGGCCTCTGTTGTTTTGCTCTACGAACTGATTCCAAAATGTCCTGATACTTTTAGTCCCTATGTCGAGACTATAAGTTTAGAGTTTAAGCGGTTAATAGATACTGAAGATAACAGAGCCAGAATCGCCACTGTTGGTGCCGCGGCGAAGTTTATTTTGCACTTAGCTACTCCTTCAAATCATGACCAGTATTATGGTCTGTTGACCAGAATGATCGCGGTATTGGGGGATGATGTTTATGATCAAGATCTTGCGTGTAATGCCCTTGATGCAATGACTATCTTGGCCAAAGCAAAACCAACCTTCTTCACACTTCATATTAAGTACTTGGCAGAGGCAATGCTTATGGTAGCGAGCGATACTAATTTGAACGAAAAGATGAGGATACTAGCAGTTAACTTCTTCGTCACAGTGGCTGAGGGCGGAGATGAAAGTAACGCAATGATTCAGAATCTGCCCAGTAATCTAATTGAAGACTTGCTCACACAGTTGCTTCAAATGCTGATGTGCGTTGAGGATGACATTTCTTGGAACGAAGCAGATGTTTATGATATGAATGCAGGCAAAACGGCTATGTCCTGTTGTGCTGAGGATGCTTTGAGCAGACTGGCGATAGTCCTGGGTGGAGATGTAATTGTGCCCAATTCTCCTGATTCGCTCCCAGATTTCTTTGAAGATGATGATTGGAAAAAGCGCTATGCTGCAGCAGGGGCCCTTGGCTTAATTGCATCAGGTTGCTCAAAGGTAACGAAGTGACAATACCTCTTATTACTTAGATTCCCTTGTTAGTTAAGTTCATGGTTCATTATTGGTGTGCTTTTAAAATCAGATGTTAGTACAATACCTGGAAGAGTCATTGGAAAAAACAATGGCACTAGTTCGTGATCAGCACCCTCGCGTGCGCTGGGCAGCTATCTATGCAATTTCTGAATTCTCAAAGTACCTGAGTCCCTTTTTTCAAGAACGGTGTCATCAACAAGTTATTCCTGCTTTATCAGAAGTCATGGATGATTTTGGCAACCCCAGAGTGCAGGTAATTGTGATTTCCCTCTCACTAAATTTGTTGTTTTAAAGCATTAAGGTTCATGGTTTCTCTGTGTTGATTTGCAAATATAATAAGTTTTCAGGATGCATTTGTATGTTTAGCTTCTAACACAGAAAATATGCTGTTTCAGTCTTTGTGTTGATTTGCAAATATTAGCTTTCTTTTTCTTTACTTCCCCACTTTTTCCTATTAAATCCTGTGCAAGTAATAATTAATTTATATTGTTATCTTCCCTTTTTATTTAGACATATGCAGCAAGGGCAATGTCAAAATTCTGCCAGAATTGCTGCTCAAATATATTGAAACCATACATGAAAGAAATGATTAGCAAATTGCTTATGTTCCTGCAGGTAAGTGGCATTCAATTGTTTATGCACATATATTGATTAGAGATGCAGCTTTTTGAGTTGTCATCCATTTGTAATTTGAATTGTTAAAACACATTTTTTCTAGTCCAGGCAGGAAAGACATTTTTGAAAGAAACAGCTTTGAGTGAGTTAGCCTCATTAGCTGATTCAACCAAGGTAACTTCCACAATTTATTTCAGGACTTAATTTGATCTCATCTTTCACAATTAAGGATTGTTGTGTCCTACTAAAACTTAGCTGGTAACTAGTATCATTGATTGTGTGAATATGCAGGATGATTTTCGACCATTCTATCCCATGGTTATGCCCTACCTGAAACTTATATTAATAACAGAAACTTCCAATTGCATGCTAGTTGCCAAAACCCTAGAGTGCATCACTTTGGTTGCAGTGGCTGTGGGAAAAAGTGTATTCTCTACTGATGTTGAAGAGGTGACTATATAATTATATATAATTTTTTGTTTCCTGTAAGCTAAATTAATCCTTTTGGTTATTCATGCTAATGAGATCCTATTGTCCCTAATGTTATGTCTTGCAAGATTGTTAACGTTCTTCTCTCAGAACATAACCGTGTTGATATGGATGATCAAGTGAAATGTTATTTGCTCCAAGTATGTTAATGCAATATTTTATTTGGTCTTGGTCTGCACTGAACCACCAGAGTCTTACATATGTACTATCTCCGCAGGCATGGGGGAGAATATGCGTATCTTTAGGGGAGGACTTCCGTCCTTACCTGAGTGCTGCTGTGCCTCTGGTGATTGAGTCTGCTAAACTGGAAGATCACCTAAAGAATAATTTTGGGTTGGAACTTTTTCTTAATGTTAAATTTAAATGTTTTACATGTGATGTGTGGAAAGGATGTCCTAGTTTAGATCATGGTGTGTAAGGTTTACTATTTGTCTGTATAAAAAATGTTGAAGTTGAGTTGAAATATGTTTTTCCAACTTCTTCATATGCTCTAATGGCTGGAAACTTTGTCTTTATTCTTTTGGTAATATACACATCTTCTGATAGGAATTTGAAGCAAAGAAGCATTATCTTGAAGGAGATGTTGTGGGCCTGTAATACGATATGCTGCTTTGCTATTCATATCAAAGGAGGACTGCATTTGTGGATTAAAAAGGTTGTCAATATTCTTAGCTATAGAATGGAGTCTCAGAGAAACAAAAATAACATGTGAATTTATTGACTAATGCAGATTTTAAATGGAGTACTTCCACTTGTCAATTTTAAATTTGATGAAGAAGTTAGAGTAGCTGCAATATCAGGTAAGCTTTGGTGTTTCCTAATCACAGATTATGAGATTTATATAAGGTCTAAACCGTCTAATCATTCTGTGTTCAAACTCTGTATTGTAGTAATGCCATTGCTGTTGCGATCAGCTGCTACTGCTGTGGAAAACGAGCTTCCTATTCCAGAACTTTTAGATTCTCCAATCAGTACTTTAGCTAAGATCATAATCCCAACTTTGGTTGAAGCCTTAGCGGTAAATTATCTCATGCTTGCTTCTGAAACTGAAATTTATTAATAGACATAAAACTGGTTTGTTCCTTTAAAGATGTCAAAGTATACATGAAATTGCTTCTCATAGGCACCAACCATAAAAACTCAAGCGCAAGCATTGGTGGCATTGAAAGAAAGCATGCAGGTTCTTTCTCCTTCATTTTAAACAGTAATTAATGTTCTTGAAAAAAAAAAATAATAAAAATCTTGGCAGTTAAAATGGCCGCTGATGGGATCCATATTTAACCTCCCGCCATAACCCACTTTCAATTTCTCCTCCTTTCTTTCTTTCTTTCTTTCTTTCTTTCTGGGTGTCATCTGCTCCAAGAACTCTTCCCTCATGGAGTCTCCGTCTACTTGTGAACAGATTTCAATCGGTCGAACTAAAAGAATTTTTGCGGGTAATATCAACCAATTTTTTGACTTTATACATCTCCTGTATTCTTCGGATGACGAAGCCGCCCGCAGTGATGCGGTTGCCCTCTGCGTCACCGCCATGCAGAGGTTTAGTCAGCTTTTTGCTCACAAACTCTGGTATGGAATTGAAAACTGCTCAAATAAGGAAACCAGATCGCTGTGTTTTAAGCTTGCTGTCACTTTTCTGACAAATAAATGGAAATATATCAACCCAGATTTCCAGCAAAGATTTAAAATATTATTTGTAGATATACTTGATGATGGATGCAACGAATGGGAGATGGTTCATAAATACTGCAGATATATTTCTAAAATGGCTGCTCTGATTTTTATCGAGTGGCCAGAATTGCTGGAGTTTATGTACCGGCACTTATCTTCTAATCCAACCACGCATAAATCGGTTTGCTCCCTTTCTTTGTTTTTTGAACTGATTCCAAAGTTTCCTGCCATTTTTAGTCCGGATGGGGATACTATAAGTCTGGAGTTTCAACGGATAATGGAGGACTCCGACGATAACAGAGCCAGAATAGCAGCCGTTGGTGCTGCAGCTATGCTGATGCTGTACTCATCTACTACCCCTAGGAATTACCAAAGTTTACTGACAGGAATGACAAGCATATTGGGAGTTTCCGGCTACGATCAAAATCTTGTGTGTGACGCTCTTTTAGGGATGATGCTATTAGCGAGTGGAAAACCATGGTTATTGACGGATCAGTTTGCCTCGTTGGCAGAGTCAATGCTTATAATATCAAGTGATACTGATTCAAACGGAAAAATGAGGCAACTAGCAATTGAATTCTTTGTCAAAGTGCCTGAGGGTGGAATTGATAGTTATGGAATGATCCAGAATCTACCCATTTATCTAATTGAAGAGTTGCTGATCCAATTACTTGAAATGCTTATGTGCATTTGGGACGACTGTGATATCGGTGCAGGCAAAATGAATTTGTAATCTTATGTGGAAAATGCTTTGAGGAAATTGGCCAGAGTACTGGGTGTAGACGCAATTGTGTGCAATACTCACTTTCTCCGACACTTGTTTGAAGATTCTGATTGGAAAAAACGGTATGCTGCAGTTACTGCCCTTCGCTTAGTCGCACCAGTTTTTACTTCTTCACAGGTAAAAGATTGACAATTACTCTATTACTTAGATTCCCTTATAGTTAAGTTAGATTCCCTTATAGTTAAGTTAATGGTGTGCTTTTTTAATTAGGTATTAGTAGAACAGCTGAAGTACTATCTCACTAAAGCATCGGAATTAATTTCTGATCAGCACCCTCTTGTGTGCTGGGCAGCTATCCATGCAATTTTTGAATTCTCAAATTACTTGAGTCCTTATTTTCAAGAGGAATTTTATGGAAAGGTTATTCCTCTTTTATCAGCAACCAGGGCCAACCCCTTAGTGCAGGTAGTTCGATTTCCCTCTTACTAAATTTGTTGTTTTTGAATCTCTGTGTTTATTTTGCAAATATAAGTTTTAAGATGCATTTGTATGTTTAGCTTCGTTCTAACACAGAAATTATGCTATTTCAGTCTGTGTTGATTTGCAAATATGAGCTTTATTTTTCCTATTAAAACCTGGGCAAGTAATAATTAATTTATATTGTTATCTTCCTTTTTTTATTATTATTTAGATATATGCAACATCAGCAATGTCAATATTCTGCAAGAAGAGTTCAGCAAAAGTATTTAGGGATCATCTTGAATTAGTCATTAACAAATTGCTTACATTCTTGAATCCTTCGGAGGTATGTTGCATTCAAATTTCCTTTTTAAGTTGTCATCAATTTGTGATTTGAATTGTTAAAACACATTTTTTCTAGTCCAGATAGGAAACACATTTTTTAAAGAAACAGCTTTGAGTGAGTTAGCATCATTAGCTGATTTAGCCAAGGTAACTTCTACAATTTATTTCAGGACTTAATTTGATCTCATCTTCCACAATTAAGGATTGTCATGTCCTACTAAAACTTTGCCGGTAACTAATCTCATTGATTGTGTGAATATACAGGATGATTTTCTACCATTCTATGCCACAGCCATGCCCTGCCTAAAACTCATATTAGTGGAAAATTCAAATTCTATGCTAGTGGCAAAAACCCTAGATTGCATCACTGCGGTTGCAGTGGCTGTGGGGAAAAGGGTATTCTCTACTGATGTTGAAGAGGTGATATATAATTGTGTTTACTGTAAGCTAAACTAAATCCTTTTGGTTATTCATGCTAATGAGATCCTATTGTCATTTATGCTATGTTGCAAGATTGTTGACGCTCTCCTCGCAGAACATAACCGTGTCAATATGAATTATCAAGTGGAAAGTCATCTACTAAAAGTAAGTCAATACACTATTTTCTTTGGTCTTGGCCTGCACTGAACCACTGCACTCTTACATATGTTCTATGTCTACAGGCATGGGGGAGAATATGCACATGTTTAGGGGAGGATTTTCATCCTTACATGAAGAAATATATGCCTCTGTGGATTAAATCAGCAAAACTGGAAGATGACCCAATGGAAAATTTTAGGTTGGACTTTAGTGTTAAATTTAAATGTTTTACATGTGATGTGTGGAAAGGATGTCCTTACTCAGTTTAGATCATGACGTGTAAGGTTTACTATTTGACTATTTGTCTGTATAAAAAATGTTGAAGTTGAGTTGAAATATGTTTTTCCAACTTTTTCATATGCTCTAATGGCTAGAACTTTGTCTTCATTCTTTTGGTAATATACACATCTTCTGATAGGGGTCCTGAGGAAATAAGGATTGTTTCTGAGAAGATATCGTGGGCCTGTAATGCAATTATCAAAATTCATACTAAAGGAGGACTGCATTTGTGGATTGAGGAGGTTGTAATTTTCTTAGCAATAGAATGGAGTCCCAGAGAAACAAAAATAATCTGTGAATTTATTGACTAGTGCAGGTTTTAACGGTTATATGCCCACTTATTAAATTTCAATTGAATGAAGAAGTTAGAGTAGCTGCAATACCAGGTAAGCTTTGGCGTTTCCTAATCACAGATTTTGAGCTTTATATAAGGTCTAACCATTCTATGTTCAAACTCTGTAGTTCTATAAGGTCTAATCATTATATGTTTAATCAATGTACTGTAGTAATGCCATTGCTGTTGCAATCAGCTGCTACTGCTGTGGAAAACGAGCTTTCTATTCCAAAGTTTTTAGATTCTCCAATCATTACTTTAGCTAAGATCATAATCCCAGCTTTGGTTGAAACCTTAGAGGTAAATTATCTCATGCTTGCTTCTAAATCTGAAGGACATAAAACTGGTTTGTTCCTTTAAAGATTTCAAAGTATACATGAAATTGCTTCTCATAGGCATCAGGCATAAAATTTCAAGTGCAAGCATTGGTGGCATTGAAAGAAAGCATGCAGGTTCTTTCTCCTTCATTTTAAACAGTAATTTATTTTTTTTATTTTTTTTTTCTGAAAAGAAACAGTAATTAATGTTCTTGAAATACTAGTGCATCTTATATTTTTCGAATTCCATTTCAGATTGCTACAGCGTGGGCCCCAGATACGGATGAAATTATTGGCAGCATATTGATGGTTCTCTTGCTATGCTTCGAAAGGAAAAAGGAAAGAGAGAGTGTGGAACAGTGTAGCTTAGACTCTACGAACGCTGAACTGGTCAAGGAGGAAATTCAGGAGGAGCACAATGTTTGCACAGAAGCAAGTGTTTTACTCCCTTTTGAGCTGAATGAAGTATTGATCTGCAAGTATTTTTTGGCCACTAGTATGAAATTTATTTGTTTTTTCATAAATATTTTGAAACAGGTTCGTATTTGCTTGCAAATTTTGTTAAAAAGGCTGTGTGCTCAAAACATCATCCCTGAAATTGCTTACGTAAAAACAATGTGGGTATGTCACTTCCTTGCAACTCACTTAACTACTATCTTAATTTACTTGTGTGTATCATATTACACAATATTCCTGTTAGAATTTGACTAATGTTTCTTAGGCATGTTTCTGCAGCAAAATGATACAACACCAGAAGAAAGAAGAATGGCATTTGACATTTTTGGTTACATTGCTGTGGAATTTGGAGAACGGGGTTTAAGACAATATGAAGATTGTATCCCATTCATGTTCGAAGCTTGCAGGGATACAGATCCAAACATTCAACAGGTTTCTGTTTACACGCTTCTGTAGTTATTACAATACCTCACACACAAATAAAGGTTTTGTTTCCACTTATGCTCAGATGCTTTCCATTCTACCTGCAGATTGCTGCCCGTGCAATTGGCATATATTGCGAGTTTGGGAGAGAAATGTTTGAGCAGCATCTTCAAGGTAGCTCAAATAGTTTGTGTTTGTTCATTTGTTTTATTTATATGTTTTTCTGCTGTGAACTGTCAGCAAGCCATTCCAACTACTCTGCAGAAGGACTCTCTAGTCTGGAATATATATTTCAGCAGCCTGATAAAAACACAGAGCACACAATGGCTAAAGAAGCAGCTAGTTGTGCTTACGGGAAAATCTGTTTCTTCTTTCATGAAGAAATTAACTACGAGGTAAGCAATTAATGAACTTTAGATGTTACCCATCACAGCTTAATATATTGTGATTGAAAATGCTAAGCATTTCAGACTTGTTGAATGCATGCAGAATATTGGCAGTTGGCTCCTCCGTTTGCCATTAACACGCAACAGTGAAGAAGCCAAAGCTGCCCACACACTGCTATGTTCCATGTTTGACAAGTGAGTACTTCATGGGTTGATTCAGCAATTAGCGCTATGTGACTACTCATGTATTTTCCTGTCCTGCTTTCTTTCAGGCCAGAGACTAAGGTTACTGGTCCTGATGATTATTACATTAGCAGAATAATTGGCATTATGGCCAGGGTAAAATCTCTACTGCACTCTCCCTCTTCATTCTTTTTGTTCTATTAACATATATGGATGAATAATGTTTCTTCTTCTTTCCCTAGGTGTTGTGGGGGGTAGACTTAGCACCCCCAGAAACCAAGACCATGATGCTTAACCTGTTGAATAGGTTCAAGAATAGACTGGGAGGCAAATTTAATGAAATATGCAATTCATTGCCTCCGGCTTTGCGGGGGAGAATTGAAAACTACATGGAATAAAACACAGCTGAGGACAAGCTTAGTATAAGTGAATAGCTTATGTGTTCTTATTCATGTATAGTATACATATTTTGTATATCATTGGCAGATGCCATATTGATATACAACAAATGACATATGTAGAGTAATGAAAAATGGTTCTTCAATCAAATAGTATTTTCATTTGTATATATGTTTTTCTGCTATGAACTGCATCCAACGTTGTCTACTCTCAGTTAAGGATGTTCAAACAAGAAACACAGGAAAGAATGACTCAACAGCTAAGGATGTTCAAACAAAATTTGGAAGCAGACAAGTTTAAAGCAATCGAAAAATCATTACCGCAGTTACTGCAGGATACGTTGCAAGGCCACACATGATGTCTGCAGGAATTCCCAATTGCTTTGAGTCATACAAGTGTCAGCTACAGGATGATCTGATCAGCAGCAAAGTCATGCTTAATTATATAAAATGGTAGGTATTTGCAGAGTAGTAGTACACTAGGTCTATGATACAATACGTACTGTTAAATAATCCTTTATGCGCTATAACTTGAATGAGGAAGCACAATTAACAATGATCGCATGTAAATCAAATCAATCCACTAAACAATGTTCATGATCATGGATTTTTAATTAAATGAAAAAGATAGAACTTACTTGGCTCCATTGAAGATGTAATCTCTAAATTGAATGAATCAAGAATATAATGCTTCACCTCTCTGATCCGGAGACTAGAAAACTTAGAGATTTGAAACCGTTAAGATCCCTAGAGTTTTCCTGAGTATTTATAGATGTGATCAGAAACCCTCTTTCAAGAGGAATGAGGAACCTCCTTTAGGAATGTGACCTCCTTTAGAAATAGAAATCCCTTTAGGATTGTGAAACTCATAACCTTATCCATTATACATTTTTAACTCTTATAAACTTAAATTTTAACAGAATGAAAGGGAGGCAATTTCACCCAGTAATTCCGCTTTTACACATCACTAATCATCAACGTGAGTACCTTATGGAATTACAACCTTTATTATAAAAATCATTGTTAGGAAATAATTATTTCTAACAGTCTCCCACTGATTCATATGAGCATGACACCTTAATTATATGAATCAACGTTAGGAATAAATTATTTCTAACAATCTCCCACTTGATTCATATATGCGTGACTTTACAATTTTCAATCCTTAATTTGAGCTCACTTAATATGAAAATGTAAAAGTCACCACCTTATCGAACTTTATTAATTGAATCATGGCGGTTATAGGCCTGACATAGCGTCCCGCTCCCTTCCATGTATCACAGTTAATAAGAATTCGAACCATAATAATAAGGTAAAATCCGAAAGTACATTATTCCTTATGTCTTAAACAAGACCATTGTTATCACTTCTGAATTATGCATAAGTGATCAACATCAACCATAACAAAATCAAAACCTGAATAGATATCTAAGAGTATCATCAACCTGATGTGCTATCAAACATAAATCCATACATGTATGGCAGAGTTAACCGTTATACAAGGACTTTACCAGTATGCCCATCCTCCCAACATGGCCAATGAAGGTCATGGGCGCCAATCCCTTAGTCAACGGATCCGTGATCATAAAATCGGTGCCAATATGCACTATTGATACTCTTTTGATTTTGTACCTTCTCCTTAACAGACAGAAATTTCAAATCCATGTGCTTGGCACCACTAGTATATTTGTCGTTCTTTGAGAAGAACATAGCTGCTGTATTATCATAATGAATCCTCAATGGTTTGGCTATAGTGTCGACAATGCCCAAACCATAAATGAAATTACGCAGCCATGATTATTGAATTGTAGCCTCAAAGCATGCTACAAATTTTGCCTTTATAGTGGAAGTAGCAATGACAGGCTCCTTCACACTCATCCAAGATATTGCTCCATGAGCAAGTGGAAAATATATTCGAATGTGGATTTTTGGGTATCCAAACATTCGACATAGTCTGAATCCGAATAACTTATAACCTCCAGGTTATTCGTTTCTTTTATAGTGAGCATGTGGTCCTTAGTGCCTTGTAAGTATCACATGACCCTCTTTGCAGATTTCCAGTTTATATCTTTCTAAAACTTTGTTAATGTGAGTCTTCTAGGATGAACCTAAAATCCCATGTGATCTATTACGAAATATTTCATATTCCAATCACATATGAAGTCTCACCCATATCCTTCATTTCAAAGTTCTTAGAAAGATATTCCTTAATATCACGCAACATCCCTTTTATTATTAGCAGCAAGAAGAATGTCGTCAACATGTAATACTAGGATTACAAACTTGCTTCCATTAAACCTTTATGTGGATACAGCGATCAACGATGATCTCTACAAAACCAAATGATAATTTCAAATACCATTGTCTAGAAGCATGTTTTAATCCATAGATCGACATCTTCAATCTACATACCATATTTTCCTTTCCTGTGGCCATGAAGCCTTGCGGCTAATCCATGTATACTTCCTCTTTTAATTTATCATTCAGAAAGGCAATTTTAACAACCATTTGGTGGAGCTCAAGAACAGAATGAGCCACCAAAATCAAAATAATTCTCAAGGAGAATTATTATCCTGCATGGCTTGGTTAAATGAGACTGGATAATTATCAATGCTCAAGTCACTTTCATGCTCAAGTGCATAAACAATATAGTCATCAGGAATGACTGATCTTTTCTATCTAGTAGATCTCCTTAATGCCACTTCCTACTGAGATTTCACTTGATCATCATCTTGAGTTTCAACCTCATCTTCATTTACAATAGCTTCCTCATGTGGAATTTGAGCATCTAGTTGTTGTTGTTCCAAAGTATTTCCATAAGGCTACACTGCACTGCAGCAATAGGAATAACAACAGGAAAAAGGATCACTTGATGAATTTGGTACCATCAATGACTCCTTAATCTCAACATTACAAGCTCCCACACTCCCACTGACTTCGCCATTTTAAATGAAGAGAGCATCACCAGACTCAACAATCCTCGTACTCATGATTAGGACAATAAACATGTACCCTTTATACCTTTCTGGATATCCAATGAAATAACCACTAATGGTTCTGGATTCCAATTTATTTTCATGTGGATTATATCATCACTCCAGCTTGACAGCCCTAAATGTGAAGATGCCTCAAACTAGGTTTCCTTCCTGTCCACAGTTCATAAGGTGTTTTGGAAACAGCCTTGCTAGGAACCGTATTGAGTAAATATGCTGATGTCCTTAATGCATACATCCACAACGAAACAGGTAACGTACAGTTATTGACCTTACTCCTAACCATATCTCTTAGAGTACGATTTCACCTTTCTTTCACACCATTTTGATGTGGTGTGCCTAGCATTGTGTATTATGCACAAAATGCCCTTAGATTCGAGGAATTTCTTTAAATGGGTCAGGAATTTGCCCAACTTTTGATGTTTTCCCATAATACTCATCACCTTTATATGATCTAATTGTCTTTACCTTTCTATTTAGCTGACTCTCAACTTCAAATATGAATGTTTCTAGGACATCCACAAACTGAGATCTTTCACGCAATAAATAGATGTAATAGTACCCAGAATGATCATCAATAAAGGTAATAAAGTATTTATCACCGCCCTAAGACGGAACATCCTAAAAAAGGACCACAGATATTTGCATGTATTAAATCAAGTAATCATGAGCTTCTTGTGGCTGAGTGTTTTGATACATGTTTGACTTGCTTTCCCTTTATGCAATCGACACATGCATCATTCCAGTCAGTAAAATCCAATTGAGACAAAATTCCAGCCTTAGTAAGTCTCAATATCCTTTCTTTGGATATATGACCAAGCCTTTTATGCCACAAGTTAGCTGAAGATTCATTTGGTGCATTTTTTTTTTACAGAACCTCACTCATAACATTAAACAAGGAATTAAAAAAGTCAACATTAAGATTTAAACAATATAGTGTATCCAACAAAACACCAAAACCATAAAATGTCTTTTGTTGATACGAACATTTGTCTCCAATCTTAAAGTAAAAACCCAATGTTTCCAACCTAGCTGTTGAAACAAGATTTCTAGAACAATTTGGAACATACAGACAATTCTCAAGATCAAGGCAAAAAAAAAAAAAAACCTATATCCAGCTTAATTCTGTAAGTTCCAATACATTTAATTCTAGCTTTCATCATGTTTCCCATGAAAAGACACTTTTCATTTTCCCCTATGAGGTTGAAACATATAAAAATCTTGCTTAATGTTATAAACATGTGTTGTAGCACCAGTGTCTAACCACCAAGTATTAGAAGGAACCTTAACAAGATTGGATTCAAAGCATACTTAAACTGAGTGTATACTTTTCATTCCATCCAAGCTTTCCTCTTCAGGAATTCAGCCTTCTTGTGCCCAGGTTTGTTACGGAAATAGCATTTCTGCACTTTCTGAACATTACCTTGCACCTTCATAGGATGCTTGATCTTTTTTTTTTTTTTTTTTTTT